ACTACATTTTTATAATAAACACTGATGAGGAGAACCTTTACCAAACTGTACATTTTTATAATAAACACTGATGAGAAGAACCTTTACCAAACTACATTTTTATAATAAATACTGATGAGGAAAACCTTTACCAAACTACATTTTTATAATAAACACCGATGAGGAGAAACTTTACCAAACTTTATAGCAATTTGTAAAAATACGCGAAAATATGTTATTCCTTTTGAACGGTGACTTTATTTCCCCTCTTTGAATATACTGTTGTGGAAAATAACTAGTCACAATGATATGTAGAAAGTTACTATTACCACTTATTTTACGAAAAAACAACAACAACAAAAAAACAGTTTCCCATAAAATGACGTCATCATTTCGTTCAGATTAGACTGTCAGAACAATATGTTCGAAGAAAAATGTGACAAACCTGATAAAAGACGCAACATAAATAAATCTTTAATTGCACTGACGATTAGAATATGGTACTTTCGACGTGATTTCGTAAGAAACATCGGAAAGACTACTAATCTTCACTTTATGCAGAATATAATATATAAAATAGGGTATTGCCAGTTTGGAAGATGTACAGCCAGTTTTTGCTTTTCTGGTGTAAAGTGTGATGTCTGAATAAGAGAGCCTTTCTTTCAGATGGATTCTGAATGTGACAAAGAGAATTAACTTAGTAATGTTTCACTAACGTTCAGAGGAGAAACAATTACAATACGATTGACTTGTATTCATAAAGAACTAATTTTACGTTGATTTCTTATGTTATAAAGAGAGTCGTCTATTGGCTACATCTGGGTTTAGTAATAATTTCCCAGCCAATAATATTCGTGAAACATTTATTAGTGCTTAGGTTACTTCGATAACGCCATATTGTTAAAAATCAATTATTTATCATTAAATATAACAAAAAAAAATAGTATTTTAAAAATCTGAGATCAAAACAAAATGACTAAGCGTGTTTCCATCTTTAGCAATGTGTTACTACAATCCGTTTGAACGTTTAATTGATCCTGACTTAATCAGTTTTCAGTTTATATAATGATTTCACAAGTAATGAAATTTGGTTAAAAAAATATCAGAACATGCAAATATTTAATCAAAATAATTCGTAAAGCTGCAGGGTTCTACCTTCAAGTAAAAGTTAAATCCAAAAATATAATCTTTAATGGCTAATAGGCCATATTACAAAAGAAGCAAACATAACAGACTCTCTAATATTATTGTGTTACAAAAAGAAACAAACACACAATAGAGTATCTAATATTACCATGATATAAAAAGAAACAAACACACAATAGAGTATCTAATATTACCATGGTACAAAAAGAAACAAACACATAATAGACCATCTAATATTACCATGTTACAAAAAGAAACAAACACACAATAGACCATCTAATATTACCATGATACAAAAGAAACAAACACACAATAGACTATCTAATATTACCATGGTACAAAAAGAAACAAACATACAATAGACTATATAATATTACCATGGTACATAAAGAAATAAACACACAATAGACCAACTAATATTATCATGTTACAAAAAGAAACAAACACACAATAGACCATCTAATATTACCATGTTACAAAAAGAAGCAAACACATAATTGTCTATAAAAAAAAAACAGTAGTTTCATAGACAAGAAAAGAAAAGAAATGAAATTACTGTAGTTTTTCTGTTTACATACTTTGCTCATTATTCATAAAATACGCATGCTTGTTATTCTTTATCCAAAACACAAAATAAAACTGTAAAATATCATTTGTCAGACCTGCATACTTTTGTTCTAGAGTCACGCAAAGTTTACAGAATACTTACAAGTTTTCAGTAACCCTAATCTTTGTCCAACAATACTAGAAAGCTTGATGCCAGTATTATGAATCGAAAAAGCAGCGCTCAGTATATACACTTTTGCAAAGTTTGATTGGCCAAAAAATGTATAAGCTGCTTTAAACTGGTTTTGAAACAACTTGTATTTCGTTATCATTCACTACTACGAACGCTTGTCACGCGAGCACCTAGCGACCACGGTCAGCGGATCTTTACATTATCTCTCGCAAAGTTTACCATATATAATAATCCTAGAGCATGAAGCAATGAAATTAACATGCGTCTACTTAGCTGAGGCAGCTACCTACTTTTTATTAATTGTAAATAAATATTTATTCTTGAAAGCATCTCACGTCAGTGTTTGTTTGTTTGTTTGTTTATGAATTTCGCGCAAAGCTACACGAGGGCTATCTGCGCTAGCCGTCCCTAATTTAGCAGTGTAAGGCAGCTAGTCATCACCACCCACCGCCAACTCTTGGGCTACTCTTTTACCAACGAATAGTGGAATTGACCGTCACATTATAACGCCCCCACCGCTGAAAGGACGAGCATGTTTGGTGGGATGGGGATTCGAACCCGCGACCCTCAGATTGCGAGTCGAGCGCCTTATCCACCTGGCCATGCCGGGCCCTCACGTCAGTGATGAATGAAAAAGAACATCGATTAATGATAAACCAAAAAAATGCCCTTCTCCTCGTCATCAGAGGTAATTTCATAGCTCTGTTCAGAATTGGTGTGTCATCGGATATTACTACTGTTTTCAGCTCTTTCTCACTAGTGGTCATTCGTTAAGATCCCTTAAAAAAAAGGCAATATTTTGATCTCTGCCTATTACTTCCATGTATGAGCTGATCCCTTTAAAAGGTCTAGTTAAACAATGATTATTACACTGTAAATTTCTTGGGTTGATGTAATACACAAAAATACCTGAAATACAACCGAAAACGCTTGAGCGAAAGAAATGTCATAATTCTACTTTAGCTTAAACAGTAGGTGTTAACTCATAAACACAGCAAACTCACATTGCACAATTTTATTAAAGTGAATTTTATCTTTGCACTAGATCCTCATTCATCCTTTGCACTAGATCCTCATTCACTGCGTGCAACTGCATGTATGTGTTTGTTGTTTGGGATCAGAGAAATATATAAAACCACAGCCACTGATGTCCTATAAAAATAGCGTGACAGTTTATTAAACGATAATAGAAAACACTTACCAACTCTTCGAAGTGGCTGCAACTCACTAAGGATGGCGATGGGGAGCATGCACGTCATCGATCCCATCCATACACCCCCGATCATCCGGTAGGCGTGAGATAGAGTCTGCCATTGTCGAGATTTTAGTGGATGACAGATGGCGTAGTAGCGTTCAACAGAAATTGAAACCAGGGTCCAAGCACTAACGCTAACCGAAACAGCTATAAATAGAGGCAAAGAAAACAGAACAGATGGATAGTAAGAAACAACAAAATAGTTAACAGTGAAAAATCATCATGACATGTGATATGGAACATTTGCAGAAAATCACTCCCCCCCCCCTCAAAAGAAAAAAATAAACCAAGAGGATGCAGTAAATCATATTTAAACGTTTGGTTTTCTTTTTAATTTTGGGGAAAACCACACGAGGGTTATCTCCACTAGCCATCCCTAAATTAGCAGTGATATACTAGATGGAAGGCAGTTAGTCAACACCACCCACCGCCAACTATTCAGCTACTCTTTTACCAACGAATAGTGGAATTGACCGCCACTTTATAACGTCCCCACGGCTAAAAGAGGAGCATGTTCAGATTGCGAGCCGAGCGCCCTAACTACCTGGCCCACATTTAAAAATACAAGTTAAAAGACCTTAAAATATTCTGATAACAGTAAACAAACTTGCACGCGAGGCTCTTCATACAAAAAATTACATACGAAATTTAAGAAACCCAATTTAAAATAACAACACAAGTTTCTAATTAAGTGGCCCAATGAATTAATATTAATACTTACATACTTTATTCTCGTCCTTTGTCTAAAACGTCTGTCACACAAAGTTTAAGAAATGTTATTAGATTTTCGGTTTGCATAATATATATATATATAATAAAATTTAGTCATTTGTTAGCCAAGAAAGTGTGTTAATAAACAACGTTTATTTGCCGCTATCCGTTTATTGGCCCACAGCATTTTGCAAACATAAGGTTCAAGAACGATAGTCATTCCTTGTTCCCAAATTATGTTGCAAACAAGTTTACAAACTGTCTACATTTCCTTTGTCTGACTTATCTTTTAAACAGGATACAAAACAAACAACAACACCGATTTCTTTGGTTGAAATATGTTGTAAAGAGGATATGAGAACCACGACCAGTTCCTCATTCCCGAATTATGTTGCAAACGTGGTGTAAAAACCGTTGTCAGTCCTCGGGCAAAAACATGTTGTAAACTGAATTTATGAACTGTCCTTAGTTACTTTATCCGAAATATATTGTAAACAGCTTTTAAGAATCATTATCATTTCCTTTGTTGAAAGCATGTTATAAACAACGTTTAAGAACCATTCAGTTTATTTATTTAAAGTGTTTAGTAAACACAATTTAAGAACCATTATCAGTTCTTCGATTTGAAGTATGTTGTATATAGCATTTAAGGATCACTATCAGTTCCTTGATTTAAAGTGTATCTTAAAAATGTTTAAGGATCACTATCAGTTCCTTGATTTAAAGTAACAGGGATTAAGGATTACGATCAGATAGCTTGGTTTGAAATATAATGCAAGGATGTTTTAAGAACCATTAACAATGGTGTGGTTGTGTAGTCCCGTTGCATGCCTAAATAATTCGATGTTATAATTTTTATTTTCCTTGTTTTTTATGTTTTTTAATTTTAAAATATATCTATTCTCCCGTATATTCATCACATCAGTCCCCAGGTGGGTCAGCGGCAAGTTTCCGATCTTATAATGTTAAAATCTGGGGTTCGATTCCTCGCGATTGACAGAGCGGAAGTAATTCATTGTGTAGCTTTGTTATCCAAAAAAGATCTAAAACAAATAGTATCATATCGGGAACACACTAATAGTATCATAACAGCTAATGTTACACCTTTTGGCGATTTTAAATGGGAATACTTCTTCTAGCCTTTTCTGATACTGATTTTTTTTTAACTTTTGTTTGTAGTGCTGGCCGGGTAATAAAAAAGGATAGCAGGTCTGTTTAGAAACTAAACGATCTGTAATTGAAAACAATGTCTTAACTTATAAGACTTATAATTATAGATTTTCACTGGTGTATCTGTCTTCTCATATTTTATTCCTTGCGATTCTTTCCTGACAAATTATGTGCAACATAGTTTTACGTACAATTCAGATTGTTGTTTTTTTTCTCTGACCCCCGGTGGGACAGTGGTAAGTCTTCGGATTTACAAAACTAAAATCAGGGGTTCGATTCACCTCGGTGGAAACAGCAGATAGCACGATGTGGCTTTTCTATGAGATCATCATTAGTTTAGTAAGAGGAAGAAGATCGTTAGTAAGGACTGAAACAGGAAGTAGACCATCCGTAAAAGTTAAAACAGGAAGTATATCATCATTAGTTTAGTAAGACCATCTGTAAAGGTTAAAACAGGAAGTGACCGTTAGTAAAGGCTAAAATAGGAAGTAGGCCGTTAACTGTTTTCTTAACGCAAAGCTACATGATGAACTATTTACGCGGGGAATTGAGCTCCGGATTTTAGCGTTAGAGCTTCGCACGTCAGTAAAGGCTAAAATAGGATGTAGATAGTAAAGCTTAAAATGGGAAATCGATCGTTAGTAAAGACTGAAAGGAGATGTAAGTTGTGTATAATGTTTAACAGATAAAGTGGTAAAAACACGTGCTTAGAAGTATTCTCTTGAAAACAGTAAAAAAGGAGTCATTAAGAGTAAAGAATCAGCAGAACCAGAACCGAAAATATACTTTCCGAAGAACATTTGATAGGAAAAAGACTTTGGAACATTGTTAATTTAGTGTTCTATTTGATGAATTTATATATATTTACATACATTTGAAGAGCCTTCCAAATAAAGCAACCGGGGACAGTAATTTTGGAGAGAAGATAACTAAAACAGTCTACACAAGCTATTTCGTTTAACCACTTTTGAACACATAAATTATGTATGTTTCTTCCTCTGCTAATCTATATATAAATTATCTCTTCAGGTGTTTTTCATAAAAGAAACAACAACAACAACAAAACATATGACTGTTCTCTTTTCTGGTGCCTAGAGTCGTACTGACAGGTTTTTTAAGATCTAATCAGTTTTCAAAGAGTTACCAAAGCAATTACCAGATCAAGTTCTAAGAAATCTTACGAAGTTGAATGTAGACTTTTTATGGTATTATAACGAAGGTTAGTAAGAACTAAAGTTATCGAATAGCCCCTGTTGTAACTGACGAAATCGTATGTTTTTATTAAAACGGTGCTTTTAAAGTCTAAATCTTTTTATGACGTTCTGAGAAATGTTTAATAACTTGCTTCCATTCAGAACTCTTGTATTGATGTATTCGTATGGTACGTACACATTGATACATTAATTTAGCTGAAACTTGATACAAGTGTACAATTAAAAAATAAAAACTGAAGTACGTTGTTATTTCGGTCGTTTGCTTGTCAATCTATACAATAACAATGACTTGTAGCGCGGATACATCAAATAAGTTCTTCAGTCAAATCGGTTAACTCCAAACACGTGTATTTAGGATTGTTCTATTAAAACCTAGTAAAGAAAACCAAAGAGATAACGTAAGCTACCTTCTGCCTTACCCTTGTTTACAGGAACAGAAACTCATCTTTCAAGCAGCAGAATAAAGAATTTTATTTGGAAACAAAGAGGGTACTTTGTTTTCTAGTTAACTAGTTCCGAGAGTTTCTGAAAAAAATGAATTTTTTTTAAAAATTAAGCAACGACATTGATTGTATGCGAAGCTATGATTGGTATTATATTGGCTTTTTCTAATAAATCCATAAGGCCACCTTTAATTTAGAGCTGCTCACCAAATGGAGGATAACAGTCATCAGAACCCACCTCCTAATACACCGTTATTTTTAAACGAACAGCAGGATTGACTGTCACATTTATAATGAAAATCTTGATTACTTGGTTGTATGTGGAAAGATAAATTATCGTTTAGTATTGTAAGAAAAATACTAACATTCAAATAAAAGACCCTATAAAATGATAACATCTTCATCAGTTGGATGTATATGGAAATTTCTTTCAACAGGTTTACCAGAGGAGGTGTACTGAAGAATTCTTGAAACACGAAAAAAAGTATGGTAGAGTGTGGTCTAACGATAGCATGTCGAATTGTGTATCACAAGAACCAACGTTCGAGACCTGATGTACCACTAAACTCGCTTTGCTTTTTTAACTGTAAGAGATTGTTTTACAGGGAGTTTTGTTTGAATGTTGCTATTTCTCATAATGCTAATGATAATTTATTTTTCGTGATTATTGAATAGATATATTCTTTGAGTTATGGGAAGATGACACTATTAGTTACAAAAGGGTGCAGATGTTATGAGATTTTCATCAATTATTTATTTAAAAATATTTGAATTACTTCAAATGAGAGAAAATAAACCTCTGGCTTTAGCCATTGTACGTACTTTGTGGATCGTGGATCTAGCTGACACAGATCCAATTAGGTGAACGAAAAACAAAATCACACAGGGAACTTTTGCCAGAAATATCAAATATGAGTTAGATACTATAGTATAGTTTTTAAAAGTAAATTATAAAATGGATTGAGCGTTTAATTCATTGGTTCCATCGTACTTAAAACGCAACAAAATTCAAACATATGCAGCATTCTGTGTTAACAGATATACATGATTTATTATGATGATTTCAATAAGATTAAATATTCTAATGCTAATAGGACAATGTTCGAATAAGTAGGATGAAAAGAAAGAATGAGGATGAACCAGAAATATGAACAAATTGGACATATTAAGAGAATGAACACAGAGCCTCTTCAATGAACTTAGAAAACAGATCGATGACGGATTCTTCATTTCCATAAGAGGTTTGTGCAATAAGAGTAAAAACAAGATATCTACAGATAAAAGTGAAACTGCATTGGAAGACAGATTGAATGATGCTCATCAACTCTTATATCAAGAAATACGCCCCCAGATTTCATTCCAATGGTAGACTCATTGTACTAACTTAATATAACTACTTGGGTGAGTCATTTTGTAGAGCCCAGACGTTTTCGTTCAAATAGTAACACGAACAATATAAACAACATGGGTGAGTCATTTTTGCGAAGCCTAGAGGTTTTCGTTCATATAGTAAGACGAACAATATAAACTACTTGGGTGAGTCATTTTGTGAAGCCCAGACGTTTTCGTTCAAATAGTAAGACGAACAATATAAACTTCTTGGGTGAGTCATTTTGTGAAGCCCAGACGTTTTCGTTCAAATAGTAAGACGAACAATATAAACAACTTGGGTGAGTCATTTTGCGAAGCCTAGACGTTTTCGTTCATATAGTAAGACGAACAATATAAACTACTCGGATGAGTCATTTTGTGAAGCCCAGACGTTTTCGTTCAAATAGTAAGATGAACAATATAAACTATTTGGATGAGTTATTTTGTGAAGCCCAGACGTTTTCGTTTAAATAGTAAGATGAACAATATAAACTACTTGGATGAGTTATTTTGTGAAGCCCAGACGTTTTCGTTCAAATAGTAAGACGAACAATATAAACTACTTGGATGAGTCATTTTGTGAAGCCCAGACGTTTTCGTTCAAATAGTAAGACGCACAATATACTGCTACGAGTTACAGAATCACTACCTTATGTGTGAGTTTAAATACTGTGAATTAACAACGTTTCTACCAATCTGACGCGGCAACAAGCATGCTGCAAACTTTAAGTTTTTACACATCCGGTGAAAAATATTTCACTTTTTATTAACGGTTGATAATTATTAACATATTTTAATGTACTGCTAAAATGTTCCGCACGTTGGAAGAAACTTAATTTTGTGTACAACACGAATTTTGAAATTCACAGTGATGTTTGTTACATAAAAATTTAACTTCTAAAACATGAGTTTTCTTTTTACAACAGTGATATACTTTAGCTGATTCTCTCCCCCCCCCCAGCTTACTATTTTGTTTTGTGGTCGTTAGGTGCAGTATTTTGTGTGTGTGTGTGTTTTAGAGTAAACCCACATTAGGTTATCTGCTGTGTCTACTGTGAGGAATCGAACCTAGAATTTTGGCGTTATAAGTCCATAAAATTAACGCTGTCTCACTTGGGGACAGGTGGAATAGATAAAAAGGCATTTATTGTTGTCGTCTATTGTTGAAGTTTTATAGCGTAAAGCTACACAATGGACTATCTGTGCTCTGTCCATTGCGGAGAATCGAGCCCCAGATCTTAACAATGTAGGTCTGGAAACTTGCCGCTGACCTACCAAGCGCAAAAACTTTCAAAATATTTATGTCATTAATTTTCTAGCTGTAACTTCTTTAGAAATGATCGGAAAATTTAATGATACTTACTAAAATACATTGCTCAGAACTTATAAATCTTGGAAATAAAAGGCAAAAAAAAATTTAGCTTTGAAACCATTTTCACTGAACGATAGCAAATAATTTCCAATTCAATTTTTGTAAGGTGTAAGACTTAAACTACCTACACAATATAGAACTTTTGTGTTTCTTTTTATTTCCTGTAGATGGAGCTAAACACGATACTCTATTTTGTTTAGCGATAGAAACATATGATAATAAACACATTTATTAACTACATGCCTTGAATTTAAATGTATATAACATTTTCCAAAGTTGTATATCCAGATTATAAATAAATACTTTCTTACCCTGCAGATAAGGAATGAGGCGACACATGACGTCTCCGAAAACGAATTCACGCATCAAAACGCCAATAAGAGTAAAAGGCATACAAAAAACTCCTAGAAGTAAATCACTAATGGCCAAGTTCAGCAAGAAGACATTCGTGACTGTTCTCATTCTCTTGTTGACAGCCAAGGTCACAATTACAAGAACATTACCCACCACTGCCAGCAACAAGATAATGCTATATGGAAGAATCAGGCGAATTTTCTCCTCCACAGCTCCTGTTGAAGAAACTTCGTTCGAGTGGATAGGGTGCTCGGTAATATTGTTTAGATGCTCCTGAAACTCGATTAACCACAATGAGAAGTTTCGGAGTTCTGAAAATCTATCATCATTAGTCCAGTTTGAAATATCTGAAAAGTTAGTCATGATTACTGGAAAGGAAGTCAAGCTGAATCCTGAAACAGGGAAGACGGTGTTCATGTCGATACAGATAGCTTTCGCTCATCACATTTTACAAGCGAAAATCATGTTTTACGGGCCTTAGGTCTTGCCGAGACTAATATATACTTTTTCTTCTTAAAATGGCTGTTGGCTTTTTTTCCGCTGGCTTACGTCGTTGTTTTCTTCAAATCATAGGATGCGCTAGCTAGAACAGAGAAGGAAATTTTAGAAGACTTATGATTAAGAACTTATGATACAAAAATAAAGTAATTATGTTATTTTAAATGCATTTTATAAACTAATGAAGTCAATTTTGTGTAACACGATATTTAATATTACTTTTTCTTATAAATCAACGTACAAGAAAACAAAAAATCTATAATGATCAAAATAGATTGAGCCATCCGTTGGGGCCTGACATGACCTTATGGTTAGGACGCTTGACTCGCAGTCTGCGAGTCGCAAGATCGAAACCTGTCTCAAAACATGCTTATCCTTTCAGCCGTGGGGGGCGTTATAATGTGGCGGCAAATTACTCTATTCACTGGTAAAGAGTAGCCTAAGAGTTGACGATGGGTGATGTTTACTAGATGCCTTCTATCTAGTGCATTAATCCAATATTAGTTCTCTGAGGCTCAGCGTAGGTTTAAGAACTTATAACGCTAAATATCGGATTTCGATACCCGCGATGGGTTGAGAAAAGAATGGGTAAAGCAAGGATAGCGTATTGTGTAGTCTTTAGCTTAAAACAAATAAACAAGCGATAAAACTAGTGCAGATAGTCCTCTAGCAGCTTTGCGCAAAATTCAATAAAAACAAATAAACCAAGTTCGACATTTAGATATCCTTTTGGGTTCGTCATTTAGATACCTTCTTTGGTTCATCATTTAGTTATCCTCTTGGGTTCATCACTTAGATACCCTGTTGGGTTCATCATTTAGATACCCTCTTGGGTTCATAATTTAGATACCTTCTTGGGTTCATCATTTAGATACCTCTTGGGTTCATCATTTAGATACCTTCTTGGGTTCATCATTTAGATACCTTCTTTGGTTCATCATTTAGTTATCCTCTTGGGTTCATCATTTAGATACCTTCTTGGGTTCATCATTTAGATACCTTCTTGGGTTCATCATTTAGATATCCTTCTTTGGTTCATCATTTAGTTATCCTCTTGGGTTCATCATTTAGTACCTCTTGGGTTCATCATTTATATACCTCTTGGGTTCATCATTTAGATACCTTCTTTGGTTCATCATTTAGATACCCTCATTGCTAATGGTATTATCGACCGTAATTCCATTAGTAACTGAACAAGGTTTAACCACCTTAGGAGATTTATAGTACTGAAGAACAATGTAAGTCGATTGTTGCCATAGTTAATACACTATATATTTTAAGACAAGGTTTGGTTATTTCTATGCCGTAGAGATATAACATAATCTTAATAATTTTCTAATCTAGTCATGTTTTATTTTAGATCAAATGACTCATAAACATATACTTTAAACATATATTATTTCATTTGAACCGTCCAAAACTTAAAATAAGTTTTTTTTTGTTTTTTTTTGCAGCAAATATTTCAAATAAAAATTCTACAACTCAGTAAAAGGAGCAGAAAAAATTAGAAATGTAGCGCCGGGAAACTATTATTAACTCTGTATTGAGATAAAAGAAATAATGCTTGAAGGATTGCTACTGCTTGTAAGAAGATGTTCCAGAAAACACAGATCGTTTTCCACTTCAATACGTTTATAAATTTTGTTTGTTAGGGATTTCTGACGCACTATGATAAAATCTAAAACAGTTGTACTAAAGTAAGAAGGAAAACCAACGAAACAACTCCACCATCTTGGTGCATTCCCCCAAATTACTAGATCTGTTGAACAAATAAAAATGTCTTCAATTAATGAACCCAGACGATTTATCGTGGACTTACATATTGCAAATGAATGTTTCATTGTTTTAACTGATAAATAATAAAGCTAATACGAATACCAAAGAAACAAACACACATTGCTACATAAAGGTACCTTCCCTCACACTCAGACACTTGTGTTCTGCTCTTATGAAAAAAAAAATATGGTATATGTGGTAAAAATATGCTACTTATGAAAATTGTTACTTGTTTAATCTGCATGTTTAAATAGCTTATTTCCGGCGTAACTTGATTTTTTTACCAATATTGATAAAATGTAAAGAATAAACTAATGCAAGCCTAAGAAGGAAAACGTGCAAATTGCACCAACTAGTAAACCTTTATTCCACAATAACTTCGAGTTGAACCGCTGGACTATTTTACATACTTTAGGAAAAGCTTCAGTAGAAAGAGTATCAAAGTTAAGCCTACCTTTCCAAACAATGTATTTTTAGTGGATTTTGCTTGCTTGATCTCGGACTGTATTCATTTGCTCAATAAGAAAATATTCGTATTATGTATAAAAGTTATTAAAAGAAAAAGAACAGCACTACAGTTATACAACATATATGCGTTAAGCAATATTTCATTTTATGAGCTTGATTTGGTTTAGACATTGTTAAGCACAAAACTACACGTTTGGCTATCCGTGCTCTTCTCACCCTGAGTATCGAAACCTAATTTTTACCATCGTAAGCTTGCAGTCTTACCGCTTAGCCCCTGAGAGGGGGGGAGGCGTTTTTGAGCTACAATTACTATCAGACAATATTCCAATAATGTAGTTTTGTTTTTGTTTCAACGTCTAAAACAGTTACAATTTAGCTTCATAGGGATTTTCAGATGTATATAAAAAAAAGTCAAATAGGTCAACTTGAAAATTGTGTAAGGAATAATTTAAATGTTTTAAAAACCCTTCCCTGTCGTACTTCCTTACATCATGGACAAAATAATTTAAAATATTTTGGTTAATAATTCAAATTACAACCACATGTCTACATTAAAAGTGCATTAAATAAGTCTACAGATTTCATTAACTGTAAACACTTTTTTTTCAGGATTCTTGATTTCGTCGATATTTCTAAATTCTGGCAATTTTCGTATAAAATAGTTAAAATATTCCAGTTAGTTTTTTATAGTTTCATGTCGCAGGTCCCTTTCGTTGAACCAGCTAAGGATTTGAAGGTTATTTACTGAAAACATCCGAGTAATCCCCAACGGACAGTTTCCTTCATCCACAATGATCTTTCAACACTTAAATACAATCCATAGGTACCTTGGTGGTAAGTTTACAGGCTCTCAAAGTTAAAATACGGGGTTTGATCCCCCCTCGGTGGACACAGCAGATAGCACAATATGGATTTGTTCTAAAACAAACAAACCGTAGAGTGTTCCTGGGGCACATGCGTCACCAAACAGTTTTTATTTTTAATATGAAAAATTATAATTTACCAGTTTCGATTCCCAGCTGGGTCTTCGGGTTGATTGAACAACTAGAAAATGTTTAGACAGAAACAAATAATCTGTTCTATGCTGACTGACTATTTTTCATGGAGAGACTGTAGGGTCTTGTTTGTTTCAATGGAACTTTAGGCATAGTAAGCTAGAAAACTTTTATGGGCTGAAATGCCTGTTGGAAGAAAATAATACGTTCTTTTTAAGAGACAATTGCAGCCCGTGAAAGTTTTCAAACAGACTAAAGTCTACTTCATCTCTAGTCCTTTTCTCGTCGATTATCAAAAAAGAAAAACAATATTGAACCAGTTAAAAAAAAACAAAAAACAGTTCCAGGTTTCAGAAAAAAAACATTATAAAAGCTTCAGTGTTAGAAGATGAACTAAAAGACTTCCTTTGGGTGTGTAAATTTTTAGATTTGAGTTGCTCGTTTCAACTGTTCTTTTTCCTGCTTTAATAACCGAATTAAAACAATAACTTTGATTCCGATGTTACTACTATTATGAATTCAATCAATATTTCATCCTTACTTGTAACGTTGGAGATAAACTGGTATTAATAGTTCCTAAAACAAACACCTGGTGTCACTATATCTCCAACATCGTTTATTCAAGCGGGTGGTTGTTATTCAAAACAGAATGCATGTTATTATTAAGGTTTCAAGTGAACTGCTTTATGTGGAGGACTATGTAACATTCAACGAAACTCCAAACTCGTTCTTACTGCAGGCATTCACTAGTTTAATGTTTATCGTTCTACCCACGCATATGATTAGTTCTGTACGTTTTCATCACATCATAAATATTAAGGCGGGTGTAATTGTGGTTTGAATGGCTCTAAGCAATTTTGAGCACGTTATTTTCACAAAAATAGGAAAAAAAGGTCATGTTGTACACGATACACTGATGATACTATGCTCCGAGGTATACTTTAGCATAATAGATATAGTGAAATCAACATTGCCTGGTTTGGAATGACCCTTTGTGGAAGAACGAAATTTTTTATTTATATTGTATAGTAATGGAAACACACAAGCGATATACATGCAAGAGTCACAAGCAACAAGTAATGACACTTAGATGATGAATTTATTAAGGAAGCAAAACATTATCATAGAAAGTTCAAAAAAAAGCGAGTACGTTGTTCAATGTTCTAGTTGTTTGAATTTGAGCCTTTTGCTTCCAGCAGAGAACTCCCTCTGGTTTCAATGTTACCATGCAATTTATCAATGTATGATTGTGGGATCTTGTTCAACAACTCCTGTATCACTTTCCAACAATTCAGCCAAGTTGTTCTAGCAGTCAGGATGCCATCAGCTTTGTTTGTTTGTTTTTGAATTTCGCGCAAAGCTACACGAGGGCTATCTGCGCTAGCCGTCCCTAATTTAGCAGTGTAAGACTAGAGGGAAGGCAGCTAGTCATCACCACCCACCGCCAACTCTTCGGCTACTCTTTTACTAACGAATAGTGGGATTGACCGTCATATTATAACGCCCCCACGGCTGAAAGGACGAACATGTTTTGTGTGACGGGGATTCGAACCCGCGACCCTCAGATTGCGAGTCGAGTGCCGTAACCACCTGGCCATGCCGAGCCGCCATCAGCTTTGTGCAAATGACCAACACTGTTGGATGAGATGCAACCACAAACTTCTAATGATCTCCTAACTTGTTTCACTATGGATCTGTAATTGTTTTGCATGAACTATCATTGATCAAACAAAACTTTGATTTCTATATGATTGTCATTCGAATGTCCAGTCCTGGGAGCCATTATTAGATCACACTACTGGTACTGGGCATAGTATGACTGCCTAAACTTTTATAGGCTTTATAA